TTCATACGGCCTGCAGTCGCTCTGAACCATCATTACAGTCATTAGACATAGATAAGCTCTGTATCACAGGAGTTCACCAGCGTCCAGTCTAACCCAGGACAATTAGCACATGCACTGGAGTAGAATTACCCTGTAAAATGAGAATGCTCAGGACAAAAGAGGCAGAGAGATGGAAGTGAAGAAAAGAGGGTAAGTGTGAGGGAAAGGGGGAAGAGGAGAAATAAGGCTAGGAAAGGGAGAGATTAAAATTGTTTGAATTAAGTGCACTCTCGCCCATCCATTGAGTATTCTGTTCAAATCAGGGCTTTTGTTAAGTCCGGCGTAAAGTAGTGTCAATCATCTCGACCCGGTTGTGTAGAGGGGGGAAATTTATTATGAATTTGCTCCTGCAAATAATGAGGACTACCCCCTGCCTGCCTCCCCCCCCCCCCCCCCCGTTCTCCTCTTCTCTGTGAGCTACCTCTCTCCACACCCCCTTGCTTCTACCCCCATATCAATGCTGCAGAATAGGCAATGGAGAGTGAAGTTAGCAATCTCAGAGCCACTCGCACTCTGGACCCACATCAAAGTGACAGAGTTGTCCAATCAGATTTGTCTTACAGGCATTACATGATGAATATGGTGCGGCTGCAGCACAAAAGCGCCTTTGTGTCTCCTCCGAGCAGCGACTATTCACAGCCCGCCACAGCCAGCCAGAGTGGAAGTAAATGGCCAAAAGGGCCCAGGCCAAAAAAAAAAGCACCCAAACTTGTGCAGTACAATGGCCCATGCAAATCACAGCCCCCACTAGCTCCACCTCATCACACATCCCCACTTCTTGTATCAGCCCCTTGGCCCAGAGTTTGGTTCCTTCTCTGCTGGGTCGTCTGAAGTTTAGAGCCTATTCAGACATTTACAGACGTGTCGTTAAAAAGTGCTGAGCTGCACACGTTTCAGCTTTTCTTCATAACATCACTGGGAAAAAATAGGCAAATGAGAAAAATAAAACCATTTGACAACAAGTTGTCAACAAGTGGCCATTATGGTAGCTTAGTTTTGGGAGATTTTTAACCCAGTAAGGATGTTTATGGTATGATAATTCAATGACTGGTCTTCTGTTTGTGATGACTTTATTTTATTTGGAGAAATAAAGGTGACTGAGTCCACTGGTTGACTTATAAAACTAACTCCACAAGTCGTCACTAATGTGCAAAAACAATGATTGGCATTGAAAATAAGAACGTTTTAATAGGTTTATCTTCAGGTTCAGACTCAATAGATTTAGAGAGGACGGGTGGACATCCATGTCAGAAAGACAAAGTGTCAGAACCTATAGCGTTAGGAGAGATTTGACCACATCAGTATCAGTCTGACCTCACTGAATTAATGACCAAGGGGTCACCGTATATGCCTCTGAACCACCTGTGTAGAGCAAAATGACACGTCTGTGTTAAATATAACCATGTCTGTGACTCTGCTTAAACATTAACACTTCAGTAAGCACTGCTCAAGGTTGTGTCATCCCTCAATCCATCTCCAAAGCTCTCTCTCTCTTTCTTACCTCCCCCCACACACAGGTACACACAAACACAGTTATGTTGCAAGTATAAGACAAATTCAGTTGTTTCACTCTTGCATATCTTTAAATGTTGTAACATTGAGCCTAATAAATGAAATATGGTTTAAAATGTTTTTAGTATACATTCAGACCAAAACAGGCAACAGTAGTAGTGTAATGTGTAAAAAAAGACATTGGTCAGTCTTTCTTCAGATTTATCCACCAACGTCTATCTCATGTAAACATATGGGGAAATATAATAAATCCAATTTCAATTAATAGGTCTGAAAACTTTTTTTTAACTGCAAATAATGTCTTTAGTGGTGTATGTGACAGTGAAAGGTAGGATAATTAAATACTCTTCCACTAGGTGGCAGAAGATGGGTGTCAAATAGTTCAGCTATCGAAAGAGATCTTCCTGTGTGCCTTTCTTCAATTCCTGCTAATATATCGGTGTTGTGTTCAACTAAATGGGTTTTAAAACAGTGAGTGAATTGTGAACACATTGAAACTAGGAGATCATTATATTTTATTACATATACCTTTTGTGATATTTTTGGGACTTTTCTAATATACATTTTGTGCCATGGCTGAAAAAAGGGTTAGTCTAACCTGTGATTGGCTCAGTCATTCACCCACTATGACTAGGAACTCTTTGACTTCAATACAATTTCTACAGAGTTCACAAAAAGATGAAACATATTTAAATCAAATAAACAAAAGAAGTCTCTTTATCCTCTGTTTCATCCTTACATATCTACACAAATGTTGAGTCAGGACATCACGGCTCCACATTTACGCAGGCGCAACTTATATGAAGAGCAAACCCATTCCAAAATAAGGTCAGTCATCCTACATCTTACAAAAGCTGAGCCATATGTATACATAGCTACAAACAGCTAGGCTGGACTGTTATGAAAACACCTAAATGATTTATGTTGGGAGACATATAGATACGCTGACAAACTTCTTTTTTTCTAAATGGGGTCAAAACACATAGGCAGTAAGGGTGTTTCTACATGTAGTAATGTGCAGTTTAGGACCTGGATCAGTGCATGCTCCTCAAGTGTAAGTAAAATGGTCTGATTATCATTTAGATAGAACAACAAATTACCAAGAAACACCTGTAGCTTAATCAAACTGTTTAGCCTTTTATTTTGCAGGTCTGCGCAGCAATCACGTCACATCTGCTTGTTCAACATAGGAGTAAACCAAAATTAACATGTCTGAATGACCTCTGGTCAAAATGTCATGAATTATTTTCTTTCTTCTTCACCACTGCTCCTCCCCAAGTAGTGAAGGAGAAAATTGCATATCCATCTTAAGTGGACAAGCACTCACTTTTGCTTGGCCTCTGCCTGACACCGAGACACATCACAAACACCATTTCATCCGCACCATAATAGAGCAGCGGGGTATTTATGTGACCAACATTCAACTGTCATTTTGTGCTGCCGTGACGTAGGAGGCTATAAAGCGCAGCGTAATTAATGTCATTTATCACCCGTTTGATTTTTTTATGTCACTGCCATACAGACATACGCGAGCCAATGGGAGATCCGCAGCTTTTGTCACTAACCGCAGGCACGTGGCTCACACCTGCAGCATGCCCCGTGAATATGTGCGCGTGCGTATGCGCGTGTGTGAGGACCCCTGAGTCTGTCTTCAGAACCACGCAAACACACACAATTAATAACCTTAATGTATAGATAAAGATTGAGGGCTAATCCATAGTTTCATTTTTTTCCTTTTTACCAATTAAAATATCCCAGTATTGTATTATAATAAACAGTTATAGGACACTGTTTAGTTGGATGTATGAATGGATGATTGACAAACGTGTTGGTATTGGCACTAGTTGATGACGTGTTTTTCTTTATCGGCAGTTGAAGGGCCACTCTAAATACAAAACATAAATCTATATGGTTGAACTGCAAAGATACCTTCAAACACGGCACCAAGCCAAGTTGTAACACACTTTAACTAGAAAAATAAGTAAATAAATAGTAGGGGTCCTGCTCCATCTCTCCATCCGTTAAAAAAACCTTGATGGCCCTGCACTAGGTGAAAGTAAACGATCTATTCTTCTCTCCTCACTGTAGTTGGCGTCCTTGGTCGTCCTTGTTGACAACCGGCAGTATCTTCCTTAATTCGCACAATGAGCCGAAAAGTTGCGCACAATAGCGGCCACAATGACGGGTTGCGCGTCCCCATTTAGCAGGAGCTGGGCTTTTTTTTTTATTGGGGCTGCCGTGCGCCAACAAAACCACAGTTGGTCACACAAGCAAGTCTACAACGCTGAGGTTTTATTTAGATTGATCTCATTCGGCCAATAAGAATTTTGACTCGCCTCATTGTCCCGCTGACTTTCCCCAGGCCGTATTTCAAAGTGTCTATATCCTTCTTTTGAGTGGAGTGAATCGCACCCCTCCCTTCACCTCTCCCCTCACTCCAGGCCCTCGGGGCGATCCGGTAAAAGCAGAGTATGCAAAAGACACAATGCAATGCATGAAACGTAATATTAATCTCCCTGTCCTGAATGCAGACAAAGCGCAGTAGAAGGTGTGCTCCAATAATGGTTACTGAGTGCTCACCCAGCTGCGCAATTTGGCCCCGTGCGCCGTGGCAAGCCAGAAAAAAGGGTCATGTAGGGCTTTGAATAGAAAATTAGCTGTGCAGTTTGTTCAATTACTGCCACCATTAACACACACACGCGCACACACACTCTCACACACACACACACTAACTAGTATAGAACCAAACAACTCCAAAGGCATATAATATAAATAGATTCATCTTTATTTATAAAACTTGTTTTACACAAAATATATTTGTTAAAATCGATTATTTACATTTTAAGCTACTGGAAGTAGAGAACAAGTGCATACATTAATAAAGGTCTCCTTGCCATCTAGCTATTTGAAATTAAAAAAAAACATCTACAGTCTGTCACAGGTAGTAGCCTTGATTTTCTGTCCAGATTCATCACTCGTCATCACACTTCCCTGTCTCTGTCATCATCTTCATCATCATCATCATCATCATCACAAGCTGCTGCTCTAACACTGTCAGTAAAGTGGCAGTGACTCGTTCAAAGAAGAAAGAACATTTGCCTTTTTTTGTACAAAAATATGTCTTCATGTTAAAACACCTCGTTGTAGTATACTGTTATTACAGCTGTGACATAGCGGGGCAGTGTGAACTACCATCAAAACCCAAAAGTCTGTTGATGCATCGTCTTGGTCGAGTCTTGTCCCACAGAGAGCAGCAGAGGAAAAGGCAGCTCTGCTCCGATGAAACAGCCCAACAAGTCCAGTCCACACAGCGGATATTGCTGCTGGGTCGCGTTTTAATTGCACTTAATCAAACATCAACAGTTCTCTCCCTCCTGTGGGTCTCACTCCCTCCTTGTCGGGACCTCAGAGCAGCTATCATGGCAAC